ACCAAAGTATCATCCAGATTTAGCTGTAATCTATCACAATTTGGCGAAATTATATTTGACTATTCGACAGTGTAGTATGGCAATGAAGAATGTTCAAGAAGCGATAGAAATTGCTGAAGGAAAATTGCATCCAAATCATCCTCATCTATTGGACTATAGAGAAACATTTGAAAAAATTCGAGAGAAGATGTAAATTTGCTTTTTTTTTGCGAGTTGCTCAAAAACGCGGTTGTGATTGCTACTCACACTCTCCAACTTCCTCTTCTCTCTATCGGGTGTGAATTCGCTGCGAGTGGTAGTTTCCTGTAAGATGCCGGCGTATGAGTGTGAATGTGGTGCAGAAATTACTCTCACCTACACACGATCGCACACACACTCAGATGCATAGGAACACATATGCACACTCACATTCTAACCGCAAGCCACAACTATAGCCCACAGCCACACCCTGTTCACAGAATATCTCGTTCAGACCTAAGCGATTCGTTATTTTATAACGATCTTTTCTATTAAGATGTCTTTGCAAATAAGGAAAAGAAACAATAAAGGAATGGTACTGAACGGAAGTTAAATTTAGGATGCTTTTTTAGGTTATCAAGAATGAGAAAAGTAATTGACAGGCACGAGTCACTTCTAATTCTCTGATTCTAGTTCATCGAAAATTATTGTTGGTAAGAAAATAGTTTAGATTAGTGCGCAAGTTCTTCCCAGCTTTTTGACAATATGTTTCTCTTCTCACTGTAATACCTTTTAAGGCTGATATGCCAAAAATTCTTGTTCTTTCATTTTGTGTGAAGGACACAGGTTAGCATGTAGTCCTGTTTTTGCTAATTTAGCTTTCTTTTTATCCAGTCTTTCTTTTCTTCCTTTTCTTTTGTTTGTCATTGTTGTTATATCCTTTTCTCTCTTTTCTTTTCGTTTGCTCTGCTTTATCTTGTTAACGTAGTAGATGTAATAAAATAATGCTTATTCCAAAAATAAAAAATGCATGGCAAAATTAGAAAGCATTCTTTTCTTTCTTCGCCAGGGAAAGATTCGTTTTTCTTGGTACTTCTTCAAAAAAAAGTAAAATAAATGAAGGGTTTTATCACAAAACGTTTTTAAGTGAAAAGTTTACTTTTCTATATGAAACTGAGATACCACAATATAAGTAAAGTTTTTCTTCTTATTTCATTTATCAAACACAGTCAGTGTTATTTCTTTCTAATATTTAATGTTTATAGAAGCCAACGCATTTTTGCTAATAATTCTGTTTGTAACAGTATAGTTCTATAACTTGTGCGTGTTCTACTTCCTTAATCTTTCTAGATTTTTTAACCACGCATATCGTGCCATCTATTCCATGTAAGTTTAGGAATAAATGTCATAAAAAAGATTGTTTTTACTTTCATGAATCCACACCTCAAACTGATGGTGTAGATGAAACGTTATGCAGATATGGTAAACAGTGCCGAACAAAAAATTATACATTTACACATTTGAAACCACCAAGAGAAGCAACAGCAAAACGAGCTAATTGCAACAACGATGTGAAGTGTAGTCGAGTCAATTCTTTCTTCAATCACCCTAATGGAAGATTAATTGATCGTATGGAGACCTCTGCACTCCATAGTACTCAAAAGAACACTGCGTCTGGTGCTGCTGGTTTATCTTCATCTAATGCAGAAAACTGAAGTTATCAACATCACGGTTCATCACAATGTAATACTTCATCGCGTAGCCATAATCAAACTTCTTCAACAACAAAAAATACAAGAATGCGCATTTGTCGTCCAGGTACGAAATGTAAACGGTTCGAGTCATATTTTGAACATCCTTATGGTAGAAATATTGATTGAGGTTCTACTACTACTGACACGAAAGTAATCAATATAATATCGAACATGTCTCATGACTTTTAAATTAGATCCCGCACATTTGACTATTTTGACTAACTTCAAGTATAAACAGAAGCCATTTTATTAAGATGTTATGAATCCTCACACTCATCATCAAACGTCACATTTGTCTATCTCCATACTGTGTCGTCCCACAAATCTCAAACTTTTACCACAAATAGCTTTGCTTGTTTTTTCTACTCAAATCTTCAAAACTTCAAAACATCTGAATAAATGATGTTGTGATTTTGATCGTCAAAATTTGTCATCCAAATTGAGTTGTCTCTTTGTGATGTATGCGTTTTCATTGGGAGAAATTACTACGGCGACAACCAACGCTGTTAACCCACATAAGTGGTTAATTCTACTGTCTTTTCCATTCAGTCAAATATGGTTGGATTGGAGTGAAACTTTGAGAAAAGAAACAACTCCATTGGTTACAATATGCAACGATCAAAATTTATAATTGCTTTTTAGTGTATCTTAGAATTCTGATCAAACTATATTTCCAAATTCTATTAATCGTAATAAAAGAATAGATGATACTATGTCTTTCGCTAAAGTTAGAAATTTTCAGACGACATATGTGAAATAGACATACGTAACTTCTGACTATACGTGGATTCATGATTCCTGGTCCCGAGAAGAGCCATTTTAGCACCTAAAATCGATCATCAAAACGAAAAGTCAAATTGTGCAAGTTGTAGCTCTCAACAAACACTATGCAACACACTGATTCGTCATTTTGATAGTACAATTGTAGACAGCGTACAGGGTCAATCTTTGAGGTGGGATACATATTTTGGGAAACACCTCAGTTGAAAAATGTGCTGTAAATAATTGGAGTCACTTGTTCAAAACTGACTACAAATCTAGTGTTAGATTTTCGTTTTTATGCTCATTTTGCCAGAATACGGATCAGACACTAGTAAATTGTCTGTTATCGTTTAAATATAGTCGAGATAAGGCCAAAACGTGTATAGCCATCATATGGGTGTGATCAAATTAGTTGGCCACTTCATGTAGTTTTTCTTTAATTTATATGAGAAAAGAGGCAGTTCTTTCCAATGAAGCTCTTCTAATATTGCGATGCATACATCTCGTATCATACTAGAGATATTTGAAGTCATGGTTTGTCGATCTCAATTCCGTAAAATCATAAAAACAAATCCCGATCAGTAGTTTCGTGAAAAATATGTACACTTTTCAAAAGAAATTCCAACAGAACAAAAAGAGGATAAATTCGGAAGCGTGAGATGATGCTCGCTGTAAGAAACTTTTTAAAGTTATTGTACGAGTCTTTGTGAGAAAAACCGTGTTTTTTGGTTTTTAGCTGGATTTTCTAATAAGGGTTATTTGTATGTGATCGAAGCTGCTTTAAACGAGTCGCGGTTCCGTGAAGTCTCAAAAAAAAGTCTCGATTTTGGTCTCGGAACTGAAATCGGTACCATAAATCTGTAGTTATCACTTTATTGACTATGATCCATTTGCAGACTATATGTAGAGATCTGATGCATTGAGTATAAAGACCTCTATTGCTTTCAATTTGTATTTAGGGATTGCCACAGAATCTTCACTTGAGCATTCGCCTGCGAATCGTACCAAGGTAGCGAACAGTTACGTCAACCGATATATTGGAAGAATCTGTTTCGATTATTCCACGAACAACGGCTTGAACCAGGCAGTCTTCGACGACATCTTCTTCAGTATCCGATTTAGTAAATCCGATAAGACGTCAATCCACATTTATAAGAGTAACACGAACCTTACCGCCATAGCATGGCTCAAGAACATGCAATCTAGAGATGAAGTGGATTTTCATACATTCGATAGCACATCACGAGTATATACAGTCCATCTGGGTGAGCACTCTATGGTCCGAAATGGCAAGGGCTATTACCTTCTGGGACGCATACTGTCCATCTAAGATGATATTCAAGATCATAAAATGGACGAAGTTTGCTTTGCTTATGCTATTGACACCACCAAAAGCGGACACTTTAAAGCAATCTGATTTCACAGATGAGCGCTAATTGCTTGAACATGGCCAGCGTTAAAAAACCGATATCATTTACAATGAATCTTTATTCTCTTAGCTCTGATCCACATTTTCTTATAGTTGCAACCTGTGTAAATGAGTTACACATCTTGCTGTTTGCTTTTTTTAAAACTCACGCACATAAAGGAACAATGTATTTTTACTGATTATTCTCACTGCAGATCGATACAAGCGAAATCTATTTTTATGAGACACAAAATCGAGATCTGGTAAACAAAAGTTTATTGCATTAAAATAAAAAGAAAGATTATGTTTAACATAGTGGTTTTTCTATATAAGCAAAATGAAAAACGCGTTTAAACGCACAATCGGGAACCGCGACTGTGATCCATTCACGCTCATTAAAAAAACGCACAAAAACGCGTTTATTGGCGTTTTTTGTAACTTTCTGGGCGTCAAAACGACGAAAATTCCAGTTTTTGAGCGTTAAAACGTATTGTTCTTAAGTTCTAGAATAATAGTGCGTTTTAACGCTCAAAAATTGGAATTTCCGCCGTTTAGACGCCCAGAAAGTTACAAAAAACGCCAATAAACACGTTTTCGTGCGTTTTTTTAATGAGCGTGAATGGATCACTGTCGCGGTTCCCGATTGTGCGTTTAAACGCGTTTTTCGAAATTTTTGTCTGACTGGGCAATAATAATATTTTTTTAACGTTCATTACTATTATCATTCAATTTCAAAACATTTCACTCTGAGAATTTGTTCATAATCGAATAATTTCTATGAGTTATATGAAGATTTATACTTTACAAAAAGTTTCTTAATTTTAATTATTTAAAAAAAGTTTTCTTTATCAAATGTCAAGATGATACTATTTATTTGTTATTTTACATTCCTTTTGACGATATATTTCAAAGGTTTAAGATTAAAAAAGAAAAGTATTATTTTGATCATTTTATCAGTTAGATTCTTTTTCCAAATTGAACGATCATCTAATAACAATGTATAACTAGTAGACAAAAATAACGATTTTATTTCTTTAAAAATAAGAAAAGACGAATATTACTAAAAATGTACGGACAAAAAAAACCATAAAATATATAAAAATATATTGAAAGTACATCTAATGTTTATTTTCATTAACTATTGCAGGTTGTATATTTTTAATAATGGCTATTGAATAAGGTTGAATTTGGTTAGTTGTGAATAAATTTGTTTTTTCACGCAAAAGAAACATTTTTGCCTCCCGTCTAAACGATGCTGATGAAGCAAAAAAAACAAAAAATGGACATGCAAATGTTATATAAAATAGAAGTGTAACAATATTTGTAAATAAACGTTCAACTGCTTTTTGATCAGTAGATTTAATTATGGTTGAAGTAACTGCTGTATATTCTGTAAATATAATATATGGTAATGTTGAAAAAAGTATTATTGGAATTTGTGTAAGCATCATTGATGTTAATTGTTTTTGAAGTAATTGACGTTGACGAAGTATTTGTAATCTATTTGTATTTCTATATGTCATTAGACCTGTTATTATTAGAATCATGCTAGGAAATAAACCAAGATAGACAGGAAGTGCAACATATCTTAGATAATTAGCATGAGCCGTATTTATAAGAAGTAAACACGATATTAAACCCGTCTTAGAGTTATATGATAGTTCAGCATGTATTAGATAAGGAATAGAATGACCCAACCAAAATATAATTGTTAGAATAATTGCCCATCTAGTTAATGATAATCGACTCAATTTTCTGTATTTTTCCTGACGACAACTAGTAAGAAATCGATCAATACTCGCTAAACAAATACATGTTATTGAGATTAAAAAACTTGCTTCGGTAAAAGCAATACGAGTTTTACACCAAATACGATTTGTATTTGACCAATCAAGATCAAATCCAATACTTAATATTCTTGTAAATAAACCATAAAATAAGACAATACAATTAAAAAATGATGAAACCAAAAATATAAATGCACATGGATTTCGACGAGTTCGCCAAAGAAAACGAATATTAAGTAAATTTCCCAAGGTACCAAAAATAAATATAGGCGAACCGCCATAAACTGTTATTGAGCGTATTAATGCTGTATTCGAATACATTTTCTTCCCTTTTGAAGTCTACAAGAGAAAAAGATCCATGTTATTCGCCTAAAACTATCTACCAAACCTGGAAAACATAGAAATAATTATTTACTTAAATTAATAAAAACAAAAGACATAAGGCATCTCACATTCACCCCTCAAAAATCGATAAAGACTCAAAAATAGTTCATTTTCCAATTAAAAACTTTCTGTCGGCCTTCATCCTGTATACTTAGTTTCTTTTTTTATTAGAAGAAGTATAGAATACAATTATAAGAGTACTCTTTTATATAAAAGTAACCACGCTTAACTCAAAAAGGGGTCTACGTCATGCTCTGCATCTCGCCATACTTTTTCAAACAAACAAAAAAGTCATTGGCTACAATAAAGCTCCTTCGAAAATTTTGAGACATCCAATCAAAAAAAACATAAACATAGTAAAAGCAAAACAAATTTCCCGTTGTTTTCTGAGAACAGCACGTTTTTCAAGTAGATAATAACAGAAATCATCAAAAATTTTTTGGAAAAAAAAGAGGTACCAAATAAAAAATTGATGTTATTTATGAAAGATCAGACTTTGGACTATCTTCCGATGCATTTATCTCAATTTTCATGTCTTTAAAGAAAATTGACTTTTTTTTGAAGGAGAAGGGGGAGGGGGCGGGAGCTTCAAAATCGTTTGATTTCTACTTTAAAAATAACGAATTTGCTTTGTCATTTAAAATAGAATATAATTCATGACAATTTAGAGGCGGCATTTTGTCTGTATTTAAGTTGTAAAAGTAAAGTACAACTCAATCTAAAAATAGAGATGGATGCTATATCAACTCAGTTTATATTTGTTAATGGTTACAGCTACATTTCAAACGCAAGGGGGATGCTATGCTCTAGGCGATTCTTTTCTAATTATCAAGATATTTTGGAAACTATTTCTACACAAAATAAAATTAAAAAAAAGATACAAAGTTCATGTGTTTCATTGATTAATACTTTGAAGCATTGTTTTGTTTCATATTACTCATATTTATAGTTCAATATTTACGACAAATCAAAAGTAATGCCAGAGGTATATTAATTTTTTTTTATAAAAAGCTTACCGAAACTTTCTTTCTATATGCACTGATACTAAAAACGACGCTCTATTTTTTTGCGCTCCTATATCATTCTTCAACTAATATCATAATAATAGAATTTTAATAAGACCTGTTTGATTATAATGTGTGACGGTTGCATTAGTTCATATAATCTTCGACATGTATTTGTAGTAATAGCAGTGGAACAAAAACGAAATACAGAATCAAGTAGCTCATGCTTCATCTTCAACCTATTAACGACCTTCGCTAAACTATTTAGATTATCTTTCGATTGTCCTAAGAGAAGAAACTTCATCACTACAAACAGAATATAACTCATCATGTATAAATTTTGCTTGAATATTAAGTGCAATACATACTTTAATGTAGAAACGAAAATTTTCCTTATTCATCTAAAATAGAGATGGACAATATCAAGATTTAACATTAACTTATTTCTTTAACTTTTTCGAGAACACGCTAATAAACTACAGATGCAAACAAGATATGCGTCTTTATATATATATATATATATATATATATAGTTAGGGATTAAAAGAGATGAGAATATATATCGAAAACAATATGAACTAATGAAATCGTCACACATTATAATCAAACAGCTCTTACTGAAATTTTACTATTATGATATTAGTTGAAGAATGATATAATAGTGCAGAAAATTGGAGCATCAGTTTTACTATCAGTACATACAGACAGAAACTTTCTTTAAGCTTTTTAGAAGAAATGACAGTACTTTCGTCAATACTTTTGGTAAGCCATAAGTATTTACGAGAAAATAATTCTGAAAAAACTGATTTTTATATAAATTATTGCGCAAGATATTGTTTATCTGTTGATGAAATCTAAGTTGGATCGCATTAAGATTGATACAAATCTTTTAGAATTCATTTTCAGTGTTCAATTAAGTCAACATCCGCGTTTGTTACATTCATTATTTATGCTAATTATCTATCCTTGGTGCGGAAAAATCTTCATATTAATCATTATGTATGATTACTTTTGCGTGCTAAAGTTTCGGTGAATAACATTCCATGTTCAATATTTCCGCACTTAACTTTCAGACTGTTTGTGTTCGCTTGGCATTCCTATTTTAAAATTATATCATTTGTGTATTGTCTATTATAAACTTTGCAAAAAATAAAAGGTCGATTTTTTATTCGGGTTGATTTCTTATGATGATATATAATTAAAATATGGACTATAACATTTTAATTTATTCATTTGACAGAGAAGTTCTATTGACAAAATAAATTGTTTTCAATTAATTTAGACATGTGACCTAAAACAAATAAAGAGAGAAAGTTCATTAAAGGAATTGAATCTTATTAATTTTTAAAACCGTCACCTTCACGAGAAGATTTCATTATTAATGACATTTTTATTTATGAATACATTGATCTACTGTAATTCACCTTCATTGAATTCAATCGAGCTTGAACAAGATATATTTAACAAAAGATTTTATATTTTCATTAAGAATATTTGTAAAATGTATGATAGAAATTTGATTAGAGAAGAAAAACATCAGTTGCGTTTAATAATTTCTACGAATTAAATTTTTAAACATTTTTCTTATGAATAAAGTAGACCAAATAGAAATTATTTCATGAAAATAAAACTTTTCATATTCTTTATCTTTAAAGATTATTTTATGTTGAAAATAAATCTGAGAGAAAATTTTTATTTTTAAAATTTTCTCATATAAATTTTGAAAAATAGCATTAAGCAATTATGAACTTGGTGTTTTTTACAACAACTGTCAAATTTCAATTTTCAAATTTTGTGAAAATATTTTATTCTGATTCAGCATCAAGAACTGAGTAGAAAGATGTTATTTGATTAGATTTCGAAGTAATAAAGTTTAAAAAGTTTTGTTCGGTATATACAGCTCGAACGTGCCTTATAGCGCATATTTCTGAGTATTCTTTTGAACCTATTTAGTTTTTTTGTAAGAAGAAATAGAAGCAATGGCCTTATCTCATTAGTATTGCCAGGTCGTGAGCTAGAAAAGTATTTATTTTGTTTTTTTTTTAGATATTGTTGTATTGTTGAGAAAATTGAATTTTTTCCCCGTTTGGTGCTAAAATTAGACAAAAGGATAAAAAAATCATATATATTTTAAGTATCTTTTTTTCTCTGCAAAAAAACAACCTCTGGGGCTCTAGCGAAAAATAAACCTGAGATGGATCATAGTTGTTTTTTTCCATTGGAAATAAGTTTTACTAAAACATATATGCTTTCATGTAATTGTTGACTCTTATTTCGAATATACTATCTCTTTCGCTTTTTTAACTGAACCATGGTAATAAAAAATGCTAAATGCAAGCGTATGTTTCATCCTTCTGCCGAATTTTATCACCAAACGGGAAAAAAATCCGATTTTCTCAACAATAAAACAACATCTAAAAAAACTAAATAAGTACTAACATAATTGTCAATGATATGTTTTCAGTCATTTGAGTTTTTTATGTTTTTTTTTCAGAAAAACAATGGTCGAATCGAAATAAAAACTCAATATTCATGAGCAGCCATTCAATTGTTCTTTCGCAAAAATTACATAGATACTTTAATAAGTGTTCACTCTTTCTAAAAAATTTTTTAGACAAGAAATATTCAATTTCGACAATGAATATAGCTAATTGAAGATATGAATTAGTAAAAATAGATAATCTATTATATTTTAGATATTAGCTGGGAAGAAATTTTATCAATATGACAATGTACTTTTCTTTTTTCCAACTTACTCTTAATACTATTATGAATCATATTCATCAATTTTATGACATTTATTTTTTTTTACAATTCTAGATTGTCAAAAAAAGTATGTCAGATATAAAATCTCCTTAAAAGAATACACACGTCATGCTTTTTAGAAAACAATATGTAATACTGAATTTCTGCATCATTGTAGCACAACAAACACGACATAAATAAATGTTATTTTCATATAATACTACATATTATTAAAACAGTATAATAAACTTTTCATTAAGTTTTTTTCCACTTAGTACTATGATTCTTCATGTTTTTCAAAGACGTAGAAACTATCATTATCTTGACAAGCTTCAAAGATCAACAGCATCATCAGAATAATTATATTTCAAAGAAGAAATTTTTTTTGCTTCTGAATTTATTTAAACTCAAGTCGGATGAAATCACTCGACATTTTTCCCAAGAGACACTTAATAATTCTGCAACATGAAGCAAAATTTATTATTTGCTGTCTAGTAATTAATACAATTGAACCAATTCGTAAATATGAACTTGATAAAAAGAAACAAAAAGTGTAATTGAATAATATTTTCAAGAATGAAATATGAAATAAACTAATTATTGTTCATGTATTAAATCATTAATGGATTCGAAAATATGATGACTAATGAATATTTTCTTCTTAATATAGAAATGAAACTATGGGTGTGGGCGTGGATGCAAGTGAATAACGTTAACATCCACACCCTGCTTCGATATGATTTCTTCTATTGCATTTGTAATTCAAAGTTTCGATTTTGAACTTCACACATTCAGCAAGAATATTTGTGATATGCAAACTCACTATTATTTTGTTTAAATACAGGTCAACAGAACAGTATTCTAAAAAAAGATCATAGAAGTGATCCAAACTCGTCAATTCAAAATACATGTATGAATAATAATGGAACTACATGAACATATAATTAAGGTGTCATCTTATCAGTTGTTGCACTCTTATACAATGCTACAAATAATGCAACATTGCTTACTATTGTACAAAAGATTGCCGATTCAGTAATACGACGATTAACCTATTAGAATGGTATATTAAAAGAACTATGTGAACCTACGTGTGATAATGACCAAAAATGATTTAAGGGTATATTTGTTCGTCACCTGAATTATCTGTTGCTTTATCTAACCAATACCTGTGTAATACAAAAATAT